CTTTTTTTCAGTGACCCATGTTGACTTTGGTACCACCTCCTGGGTTAGGCAGGAAGACATGCTGAGTGAGCTCTCTGCTGGCTGGATCCAGACCCAGCCTCTTACACAATACAGGCTGCCTGGCTTGCAGCAGGCCAGCCCCTCCTCTCCAATAACCCACTTCCCATTCTTGATCAAACCTGGGGATTGTAGTGTAAGGGTGGAGATGAGAAAGATGGGAGGAGGTGTGTGTCTGTGTGTGTGGTGGTGGTGGTGGAGAAGGGGGTGCACATCCTGCGTGAAACCGCATCCTGAACAAGCATCGCTGCATCTCACTGTAAATAAATACTCTCTCCTCCGCGCAGCTTCCGTCAACTGTCACCGCCTTGGCTCCCAATCACCTTCAAGTCCAAACAGGAAAGTGCAGGGAGGCGAGGGAGATGGCAGATATGAGCTTTAATTTGCTTCTCGCTGCACTTTAGCCCGGGTGCACACTACTTCCTATACTCCTGCTCTGACCAGCTGCCCCGGCTTCGTTCCAGACCCTGAGTCCTTCCTGTCACCTTTCATTACCACATTATCCAGGAGGAGGCTCCCTGTGTAGCTGGGAAATCACCATTTGGTGGGACACCCACCCCCCGCCTCATTTATGTTGTATTGTGTGAGACATTCAAAGCCACGCGCAACATCCTCAGAGGAGTGCTGCTGCCTTGTTACCTGCTAATCCCCTGTGCATTATAACAGGAGATGCAACTGAACAACGGAGCATGACGAAGGTAACAACTGAGACATGACAAGCTCGCAGTCCATGAATCGCTGTGGATTTCGAGACTGGTGCAGTGTGCAAACATTCTCATTTTTTGATTAACTATTGAAGGTCTTTCTTGATACGATTACAAACCACCAGGCCTGTTACATAATCAAATATTTCTGATCGGGGACACAGCAGGAACAGGAACGCCCGATGAATTAAATGAATGACAGAAACTCACAGGATAGCAGCTCCCCTTACTGTTTATACGGTTGCCCGAAAGGTGGTCCTATTTCAAGAGCGAGAGCATCCAGGGCCGCAATCCTCCAGCACTTCTTGCATTGTTTTATTACACTTGAATGAGCTGAGCTGAAAATGGCATGCAGCTGCTGACTGCAGCGCATCAGTGTTTGGCCTGGGCTTAGCTTTGCCCACCGGGCTAGAAAAAAAATCACTCAGAAACTGATCTGTCAAAATAAGACTATATGCTACAGCCAGGATGCTTTTATCTCTATGAAAATGTAATGAAAATTGTACATTTAGAGGACACCAAACAGAGCATTAGGTATTTTAGAAAACTGCATCAAATTCTTTCAATGATAAAGTCTGCTGGAATTAAGATCAGGACATTTTCTTTAAATCTGAACCCAAGACCTCTACAGAAGCTTTAAAACAGCAGCAGTATTCAGTAAAAGCAGCTGAGACTTCAACAGTAATGACAATGTTTGCCCAAAGGATGGAATGGTAGATTGCTTCTGTCCAAAACTATTAAAATAATGATCTAAGTGAAAAAGAATCAACAAATTAGGACTACGTTAATAAATCGGACGCTACGCAGCAGCACATGTTGCAACAGTAAGTCGTCACTGTTTAAAACAGCAATATTTTCCAACCAAATTGGCAGTTGAAGATAGGAGCTTCATGCAAACTCTTTCATGGGAATGTTTTACAAAAGAAAAAAATGCACAAAGCAGGCGGCAGTTATTAAGCCACATATTTACTGCCATCTGCGCGTAGTCTACTATTTTGCATCCGATCAGAAATCAGCTGAATGCGGTTAGGCATGCCACAAATATATTCAGCCTCTCCTTCTCCTCCGAATGTTGTGCATAGCTGTTACACTTGTGCTAAGCTGTGCCATCTTCAGCAGACAGTTATAGGCGCCTTCCTCTTTGCCTGAGGAGAAGGCTCACTGGCCAGACACATTACTTTAAAGGGCAGCATTTCAATGAACACGTCTCAACCTGCCCAGGGGGAGTGTGAGTGTCTGTGCGTTTGGGTGTGTTTATGTTTTATCCTTAGGACCCCCAATTGTTGTTCATTTGCTGTGCAAAGACAAAATAAGCACATAAAGGCCAAAATGTGCTCTTCCCTGGCCTTCACCCACATCACAGCACTTTTCCGCACAAGTGGCTAACCAGAGATAATTATACAATTAAAACAATTTTCCGCATCTATCTGTCAGTCTGATCTAATTCACCATTCGAATGACACTAATGGCGTAAGCCTCTTCTGTCTCCTTCTCCGAGCAAAGCCTTTTTCTCTTTATCGCAAAACACACCAAAGCCATGTGTAACAGAGGAAAACAGGAATGGCTCTCTCTGATGTTTAGCAGGATGTTAGCGAATAAAGTTAAGACCAGCAGCTTTTCAGCACGATCCATACGGCAGCAAGGAAACGGGAAGGTTCATTTGATTGTTGGTGTAAATTAACCCTTGGTTGCAGGAATACAAAGAAACAGAGTGACTCTCATATTTTCTGAGACAACACTCCCTTCAACCAGCGCTGATATTAATAATTCATCATGACAAAATACATTACCAGAGAAAGCTGAACGTGAAAAGAAGAGTCAACTGTGACAGGAAACCAGTCACATTAAAGCTGGGCTCTGACACTCAGCAGCAGAACGTGAAAAAATAAACTGTAATCTTTCATTGTTCGAAGGAACAGGAAGATGAATTCCCATTTCAATAATCACATTATGTAGTTGATCGAGTGGCCGAACTGCAGGGAGGTATAGCCTTAGATTGTGCCTTTAGGACAGACCTACACAGGGTGTGAACAACAAGGGAGGATTTAGCCAAACCTTGACCTGGATATCCTGCATCTCGGTCCACCCTGTGAGGACAAGGAACACAGATATGAACTACTCCTACACAAGTTCAAGGGAAATGCTCACATGGTGCTGGCTGCTCTGTTCTTCTCAGCTAGCTCCACCAATACAATGGCAGCAGCGAGTTTTATGTTTATGAGCAGTCCTGATGGGGATACGCATATCCATTATCCATTAGATATGAGTCTGCCTGTAGTGGGGGTCTGGTATTAACCCACAAGCAAGTGCCCCATCAGCAGAGAGGAAAAAACTGCCTTTTATGGCAACGGATAGCAGACTCAAGCCATTGGCCACAAAGCCCACAAATGAGGCGTTAAGTGTAGTGGCAGGCCAGTAGAGAAAGAGGAGCAGAGAGATATGACCCTTTTCTCATCCATGCATGAATCTGCCCTCTGCCTCTGTCTTTCTCGCTCTGTGCCAGTCGTCTAAGAAAAGAACACATCCAACCATGCTTAACTACCCAACAACGCTCACGACTAAATAACAACTGTCACCTGCAGCAGTATTCACCTCAACGCTGGTAATGTTACCGCCGTGTAACGTAATCTTTCTAATTGAATATTAATTTTTATACAATATTTGGAGAGATTCCTAACTGACATTTTCTGCAATTAATTGCCAGATAGAGGCAGGTCTAGTGCGGCAAAGTTAAAAAATACAACCTGACATGGAGATTGGGAAACAGAGTGCAGCGAAGGGGCCTGCTGGGATGGTTTCATCATCGTGCCTGACCCCCCCTGCTGCTGGGAATGGCAGGAGATGGGGGGAGCAGGAGGAGATAGACTCCTCTTCACAGTCAGAGATTTAATTGCACGCAGATTCCATTACCTCTGCACAAATGTCACATTCTCTTCTGATCAGGGGGCACGGCAGCCACTGGCAGTATGGCTGGCAAGCAGCCAGACTATAGTGCAGAAAGTGTTCAGCCAATCAGGGCTCCCGGGGCAGACAGAGGTGAGAAGAGGGATGGAAAGACTACTTCACACCAAAGATATTAAAAAACAAAGGAGAGTCACAAACAGAAAGCAGCAGATGGTGCAACGTTTATACGGCGCGTGACGTGCTGCATTAACAGATATTAAACAATTTATTGATTTTAGACTGTTGTTATAATGGGGCACTAAAAACTTCTGGACATAACATTCACGAAAACAAAAAGTATGGATTTTTCTGGAAGAAGAAAAGGCTTTTTTTTTTATATATTAAAGCAGTCATTTGTGTTATTCTTTCAGACTAGCAGAGAAACAGCTAATTTTATTATCTCTAACAAAATGCAAACAATTCCCATTATCAAGTTCTGATGCTCAAGGACGTGTCATGTTTTGTCTGACCAGCAATCCAAAACCCAAAGATACAAAGATTTAAGCTACTTTCACAGAAGACTCTGAAAACCAACAAATATTTAGGAAGCTGTGAATTTTTATGCTTTTATACTCTTTCTGAATTCATCCAAAAATCAGGTGTCAACTATTATTATTCAGTTAATCACCTCACTGTTTCAAGAAGATAATATAAGGACATTTTAAATGGTTGTAATGGCCAGAACAGCTAGAATTACAACCCTCAAAATGTTACCCAAATCATGGTTAAACTTTTGTATTATTATCCTTCATATTTGAATCGAACAATATCATATCATTGTTTTAAGAGTTTCCATTTAAAAGGTCTGAATTGGGACCTCCAGGAATAGGGGGTAGTGAAGTACCCCTGATTGACTGTCCTGATTCTCCATCTGGGAAAACAGCCACTTACAAGAGCAGCCTTTTTTAAACTGCTGGCAAAATCTGGACAAGTGGGGCAGCAGTTTAGAAGCCTGGGACCAGTCCTCACAGATGCAGAGCTGAAGTTTATTTATTTAAAATAATTGCAATAATGGTCACTAAAATTAGATATTTTCCCCAAAACAGTAAACTCTCTCCGGGACTATTTGTGTCTCTATTATTCACATCTGTGCTTAGCAGCCAGTGAAGCCTAACAGTGAAACTGCTAAAAAACTGACGATATTCTGTTGGGATGTGTTTCAAACAAATTATGGCTTGAAACACGTAAGCCGAAAAGTCACATTTTACAGTGCTTTGAAGACACTTCACAGACAAACAGCAGGCACATTACTGTATGCAGTAAGAGAAGAGTTATAGTGGGAGGACTGACACATACCCTGATCACTGGTGCAGGGTCGACTGGCACGCCATTCCTCCAATCAGACTTCAGCTTACAGTCTTGAGGGCAGGACCACGGGGGTTTCACACAGAGGACACAAACAGAGAGAGAGAGAGAGAGAGAGAGAGAGAAAAGGAAGGGGAAAGATACAAAGATTACAAACAGGAAGTGAAAGGTGGGGAAAGCCCCTACCCCGGTCCGCGAAGCCCACGCGTACAGAAATGACATAAGGAATGTCAAAAGTAAACGTGATGGTCTTCAGCCACAGGTATTTGTTAAGTTATGACACACTGATTCCTGTTGGCATCTCTTGGCCTATATGCATACCAAGTTATCTTCCTTTCATATCAGAACATGCACATAAGAAACTATGACAGGTACACAATGAAAAATATCAAAAGTGTTTGTATCTGTGGTTTATGTCTCACCCTAAACCAGTAAAGATGTTACAATATTCCCTTTGAGTAGTTGCAATATCAACATAACAATATGCTGAATTGATTTTATACAGCGTGTACTTTATAATATGTAAATGTAAAAAAGAAAAACAGCAAAGAACATGACCAAATCGCACAACAAAATAAGCAAGGTGACACAAAAGGATAATTAAGGTTGTGTAATAGGCGTTAATCACCGTCGTGATATGACAAGAAAAATGCCACAACTCTGAGTGGTTTGATGAGTGTAAAACAGAAACATGAGTAACATATTTTATATTACTGTATAGTCTTTGACATAAATGTCACAGCACTTGTACATTCCAAAATAGCTTATTTAAAAACCTGTTTAGCTCAAAAGCATTCATCTGTAGCCAGATAAACAAGTGGAAAGAGGCTAATGACTTCCATATACAACTCAGATCATGCAAATGAGGCTGCATAACAGATTACATCTGGTTTTGTCCCTGTCACAGGAGTCACGGCTGCATGTGTGGCTGGTTGGCCCGTGATATATGTGTGTACATGTTTGCTGTTTAATGTGGCTGTGTCTCTAGCAACACAGCAAAGCAGTGCAGCTCCCAGTTAATTGGCCTGCTCTATGAGAAAGCGTGTTAAAAACCAAATCTATAACTCTGTGTGTGGAGCGGTGTAGCTTTCCAACCAGACACAACAAACCACAGCCCAAACGTCCCAGCTCCTCATAATTCACCAGTATGGAATTCAACTAACCCCATTAGTGCGACTGCTGTTTCCACAGGCCGTCCACATTCCTGGGCCTACCATTGGCCCAAGATAAGACCCTTCTGATTACTCTGTTGCATGCCTGTCATTACTCACAAAAAAATGTTGATCCCAACAGACAGCCCCCCTCATGGATTGATGGCTCCTCTATTGTGTCCCCATGCCCTTCAATTGAAGCACTTGCTTTCAGACGGTCCCCTAACTTCAAGTTTGACGACAGAGGGCAGTCTGTGACTTCGGCCAAGGATTGCTGCCAAGTTTGCCACATCAAAAGTACAGCACTCAGACTTCATGAGAAGATCCAAATATGATGGGATTTACGCGCTGTATCACAAATAGACTGGGATTTCATGAGCTCTCAAGCGCTCTTATGATTTGATGTTTAAAAAACTATTTGGCCAATAACTAATAATGATATTTTCCAGTCTTTTTATTTTGTATCTATTTAGTTATCTCTTTGTTCCTGGTAAACAAGGACATCTCCTTTTCGAGAAATAACATACTACTCGACCACAATATCCTGGTAATTTCTGGTTATTTATCTATATGCTAATACTAGTCATCAGTGCCAAAACTGACCTAAATTCATAATCAGACTATGTATCAGTGCATCCATACATCATACAAAAATATCAGAAATAGCTTTCTATGAATGTAACTGAGTAAGCAACTTTATGAGTAAACAACTAAAAGTTATATTTCATCCTCCTCTAGACGTACACTCAAGTTTGCTCTCTCACCCAGGACTATTTAAATCTTCCGACTGGGCAGAGGCCCATGTGTGAACATCACTGCTGCCTTGAATGTGTACTGTGTAAAGTCTGAAATTCAAGGGAAGGGTTCAGTAAGATACATTCAAAGTGAGATGGCTCTCTGGTTTAGTGTAACTTAAAATCAGCTAGAGTCAAGTCACCGACTGGGCCGCAGAGCAGAGACTGGGACACTGGCGGTGAATCGGATCAATGGCCTGACCCATTAAGTCACAGCACTCCCAGCACCTCATTTAATAAGAGGCGATCTTTGGGAACACCCCTAGCTGACCCATGCTACCGGGGACCATTACAAGAGAGTGGTGTTTCAGGACCAACGCCCACTTGACCCGGTAGCGTAAAGACACCGAGGAGATCCACATGATTTAAACTCCTCCCTAAGACGTGCTGACAAGGTTACAGGGTCAACACAGACATTAACAGGTCAGTGTGTGGCCCACTTGGGAACAATTACTCCCAGTCACAGCTAAGTGGACACTTGATTGAACACGACGGAGGCAGGACACACTTCCCACAGATAACAATCCCCAGAGCCATTTAGGATAAAAAGCCCTTGTGATACAGCCTTTATGGACAAAATTCATCTTCCTTTTCCCTTTTAAAAGAATGTGAGAGTGTGATAGAGAGCCATTCTCTGGAAGAGATGAGTCTCTCAAAGCATTACCATTTTCTAGCAATACTAATAGCTGCTTATGACAAAGAAACAATTACAAGGTGACTGGGATTAAAAGCTAAACAATGTTAAGTTTTCATTTTTCTTGCCACACTCAGAATGCCCAAATTTATAAGAGCAGCAAATGAGACCAAAAGTAAAAGGGCTTAAGATGCTGACATAGATTTACTATTTCCTGAAAAATATCTCTAATTAACTATGTGAGTGTGCAGTTTGTTATGATATTCAACCTTTAGCCCACTAAAAGTTTGACTCCTTTCTCACCACAGTGACTAAAACTTTGCTTCAACTTTAGTTCAAACATCTGGTATGTTACGAGTACACGCACTAGCAAATACACTAATAATGTGCAGCTTTGACATATACTGTAACGGAGAAAAAAAACACATATTCTGAGGTATCACTTGCAAATAAAATAGCGCACACAGGTTATGTGGATCTCTGGTAAAATGGTCACTCTTGTCCTATAGTCTCTTTGCACACAAATAGGGCTTATCGATTCCCGAACACATTTCCCCGCATTTGCATAAGCTGTGTGTTGTTTGTGGTATTGTTTCTTTTTTTCCACAGGCTTTGTTTATTTATTTCTCTATGTTAGAAAATCGGTTCCACATTGTCCCTCGATCTGCAGCAGCGGCTGGCGCTGCAGCTGTTAGTTGTTAGTGACTGGAGATGACACAGTTCACCACTTCTCCAAAAAGCCAGCGAGCCTGGAGACCCGCACAGCTGCAGAGTGAGAGGAGAGGAGAGGAGAG